TTATGTCATGAAATTTTATGTGGTTAATTCTTTAAGTGAGAGAAATAGACCCCTCCATCTAATTTAAATGACCTTTTCTGGTTGTAGTATCTGGACTTTTGACCACCATGTTAGAAAATAATTGACCAAGAGCCAGTGTCTTCTGATCATCCAGGTACATATCAAGTCTCTATACTAACTAAAAACAAACAAACAAAAAACTTTGAAAATATAATTGCTTTATTTCATCTAATGTCAAATGTCTCAATTATGTTACTAAATTTTCAAAAGTTTAAAATCATAAGTTTAAAAATTAACATCATCAAGGAATCATTATTATTTAGGTATATTACTATTATCTTGGATATGTTTTTCAAAGACTGCTTGCCCTTTTAAGATATATACTACAATTTTTTCCAAGTTAAATAATATGCTTCTGATACTTTCACCAAAATAATCTGGGTTTAGGGTTAGCCAGAAATTGAAACTGAATAAAGGAGAAAAGGGTGATTCATCATTTTAGTCTTTCTTTGTGTACATTTGACACTTTTCTTAATAAAAGGTGTTTTAAAAAATTATTGCTCAGTGGTTGAGCATCGACCTGTAAATCAGGAGGTCACTGATCGATTCCTGGTCAGGGCACATGCCCAGGTTGCAGACTCAATCCCCAGTAGGGGGCATGCAAGAGGCAACCAATCATTGAATCTCTCTTGTCATTGATGTTTCTCTCTCTCTCTTTCTCTCTCCCCTTCTCTCTAATATCAATAAAAATATATTTTTAAAAAATTAATGTTATTGATAAAGTGGAGAAAACAGACTCAATTTTTATGTATAATATTTTCATCATTCAAATTTTAGTTTAGATGTATATCTCAGGAAAAAATACACAGACAATAATTACAACCCCACAGATATAATTGAATCTCAAACTAACTCATTATGTAGCATTTAATGCTACAAGAAATGCTGTTGTTTCTATTGAACCTTTTTATTTAATTCAATTTTATTTCAGTAATAAAATTAAATTCCAGTTCTTTTTGGTAATTTTGAAAGATAAAAATCTGTGAGTTTTTACAGTTAGATCTGAAATAAATGCCAGCAGAGGATTAAAATTTGAAATAATGCTGTGGTAAAATAAAAAAGTCAAGGTTACCAAGCTATAGGTGAATTTCCTTTATAACAAAGAAGCACTTTTATACCATTATCAACCTGCATGTCCAAAAGCAACCAATGAAAACCAGATCCATCAACATTTCATATTCAAGAATCAAAAGCAACCTAAACATTTTCATTTAAAAGCCAACTCTTCTCCCTATTTTCTCTTTCTTTCAAGTATATCATTCTTTTTAGTTGAAGCTCCAAATTTTTCATACTCTATAATTTCTTCTTTTATTCTAAGTGACTTCATCAAATCATTTACCGTGTCCAATAGATTCTTTGAAAAATTACCCCTCCTTACGAATTCCCCCAATTTTCCCAAAGCAGATCCCCTTCATATTTACAGATGCCTATTTGTTCTTCCCTAGCATTTATCAGAGTTGATAACATTTCTTAGCTCCAAAAAACTGAAACTTCCATAAGGGTGGGGTTTTTGTCTTCTTTGTTCCTCACTGTATTCCCAGTACTTAGTTACGTCTCTATTTTGGAAGAGAGAAGAAAGAAAAGGGGGTGACGGAGAAGGGAAGTTAGAAGGACAGGACAGGAGAAAGGTGGGAAAGGTAGTAAAGAGGCGGGAGGAAGGGACAAAGAGAGAGAAAGGACGTAGGAGAGGAGAGAGGAGTGGAAGGGAGAAAAAAGGAGGGGAGGGGAAGAAAAGGATAAGGAGGGGAGGAGGGGACCGGGGAAGAAGGGGAGATTCTTTGCATTCTGTTCCCACGGTCACTACCTGGAATCATAAACTCAATATTCTCTGGACCTTACAAATATCTAATACAACATCTTTTACAATCAACCAAAACTTTAATATTGTGAAAAATTCCCACCAAGTTGTAGCCCAACTATGTTTGAATTCCTGCAATAAAGAGAAACTCACTACCTCACAAAACAATTCATTCCATTGGCAAGAAACTCAAATCATTTGAAAGTGTTTTTCCCCAAAGGAGCCAAAGCCTCCCTCTCTGTAGATGCCACTCTTTAGTCCTGATCCTAAGATGTGGAAATACACAGGCACACAACTAATTTTTCTTCCAGAAGAGAGCAGTTCCTAATTTTGAACAGTAGGATGATAACCATGTCTCTATTGAACTTATTCATCTCAAAGCTAAACATCACAGCCATTTCTCATGCAATGGCTCTGAGTTATGTGCTCATCTTGGTCAGTTTCATTAGTGTATATTCATTTGATCAATATGTCAAAGTGTGGCTTCCAGAACTGCTAATAGCACTTTAAGTGTGGCATACCCATTATCAGTAAATGAATGGTGCTCAGAGGAAACAGATGCACCCCAACAGTCCTCACTCCCATTTTATGCATTTTAACTAATAACATATTGATTGATAAGTCTTTAATTACCATTGCTTTTTTGTCATCAATGTCTACATTCTCTTATTACTTAAATTAGACATCTAGCTTGTTTATCTATCTCTAATCCATCCCTCATTCTAACATATGTAGTCAGGTAAATATTTTTCTAACACAAGCTTAATTGATCATTTCTCTGG